CGAATTTAAATTGATAGATATGTTTTTTCATTATCAGTAAAATCATCCATTACAGCAAATCAGTCTACACGACATAATTCTCTTTATTAAAAATATTTAAAAAATAAAATATATTTTTCTGAAACTTTTTTTGAGGAAGATGAACTGATTCAAAATTTAATTAATCTGATCCAAAATATTTTTTTTAATCAAATCATCCCAAGCAAGACAACAATGTCACTTAAACGCAAAGGGCTAATATTAGTGGAAGAGAATGAACAAGTAATCATTTCCTAAATAGGAAACATGAATAAACCTCTACTCTTGTTCAGAAGTTCGGGGTGGTGTGCGAACCAGACAATAGGCTAAACTTACTTTTAGTTTCAAATATAGCAGGAAGGCATTTTTAACACATATTTATCGACAGCATATTGTTTCGGAAATTTATTTAAAAAAGAAATAATAGATATACAATTACATGACGAATACAACGTAAAAACCTTTACATATATATATATATATATATATATATATATATATATATATATATATATATATATATATATATAAACTATCCAGTAATGTTTAAAATTTAAATTTATTTTAAGCATTCTAATATTTTATAACCATCACAACTGAATGCAGATTTTATCGCATTTACAATAAGTTTGTCTTTTTAAATTGCCCCTGAGGATGATCTTGGAAAAGATCGAGAGTACAGACATCCGACTGATGCCAAATCAATCGGATTTCCATCCTGGCTTGAGTCAATCGAATTTCCATCCACATTGATGAGCTGTGATACAGCGAAACAGTCTGACTGTGGATGACAATATCTATGCCCCCGAAAAAAATAAATTTCGGTCGAGCACTTTAGAGGTAAAGCGCGAATTTGTAAACATTGACTGCTACTCCTGATAATGCAAAGCTCTTCTATGAATTGAGCACTCTTATTCACAGGCGTCTTTATTCGAAAATAAATACGTAAAAATTCATCTTCTTCTCTGCCGGGAGCCGAAAGCTTAGTGGGGAAATCTCCGAGTGATGCCAAACCAGTCAAGTTTCGATCCTGGCTTGAGGCAATCGGATGTCTAGCCACACTGATGAGTTGTGATGCCTGTGGATGACTATATATATATATATGCAAGAATTCTAGTACTTTTTACTTCCGATGGTTGTCAGGGACTTCAGCATTCCATTTCTTGCGAAAGAAAACAATTTCTAATGAAATAGATTGAGAAATTTAATCTGCTGTTTTATCATAAGGACTCGCCGAATTCATTTGTGGCTGTTATTCAAGGTCACGACAAAAGTTATCAATAACACAGCCTTTAATTATTCTACGGAGATAGATTGCTCACCCTCGACCCATTCAGTGTAAGCCTGTACTAAAGCGTCCTGGGTATGACGATAAACTACATCCGCGTCCTGGGTAAGACGATAAACTACGTCCAACAGCAGGTCATCTGCTCAGGAGGTTTTGAGGAGCGTAGAACCACCTCTTAATTGCTTGTGTTCCCAGGTCCACCCTGACCCGGGGTGGTAGTACCTGTTAGGGCCCCAGCTATGGGCAAATAGTTAACACCCAAACTGGGGTCATAACACTATGAAAGTGTAAAAACAGTTTTATTACCAGAAATACTTTTTTAAAAAATTATTGCCAGTAATACATGAAAAAAATATTACAAAAAATAGATTTATAAAGGAAAAAAATATTACGAACAACAAAAATTTTGTTGGTATTAAATAACCCATTGAGGTTGATATACCGTAAAACAAACCAAACCAAACTATTGCTATGAATCTATTTCAAAAGTTTGTTGGCATTATATGACCCACTGAGGTTGATATGCCATAAAAAAAAAAAAACAACCATCCAACCAACCAGCCAGAAATAGATTTTTGGAAAAAATATGACCAACAACGAAAATTTTGTTAGTATTAAATAACCCATTGAGGTTGATATGCCATAAGACCAAATAAACTAAACCAATCTAAACCAAAGAATACATATTCTATTCATACGAATCTATCCTAAAAATGCTCTCGGAATTAAATAACCCATTGAGGTTGATATGCCGTAAAACAAAATAAACCAAATCAATCTAAACCAAATAATACATATTCTATTCATACGAATCTATCCTAAAAATGTTGTCGGCATTAAATAACCCATTGTGGTTGATATGCCGTAAAACAAAATAAACCAAATCAATCTAATCCAAATAATACATATTCTATCCATAAGAATCTATCCTTAAAATGTTGTCGGAATTAAATAACCCATTCAGGTTGATATGCCATAAAACAAAATAAACCAAACCAAACCTGCACTAAACGAACCAATAGCTGGAGTCAAAATTACCAACCCTTTCATCTGCTAGGCTATTTTCATATGGGCAAAAGACTTTCAACTGTACAAGCAGAAATAGTGTCGAATATATTTGCGTCTTTTAGAACCCAACACAGTTCGTAATTTCTTCAAGGCAGTCTAGAGTGCAATGGAATCGGAATTGCTTTCGATCATCTTCTCCAACATATCATCGAATCAATTATCCTTAGTGGGATAGGCAAAAGGGAATATTTGCTCTCAGAATGGACATACTTCTAACAGACGTGCCATTTGAATTCAAACGTCTTCAATTGATAATGAAGAATAAATTGATCTTAGCTAACAGCAAAACACAAAAACAATATATCATGACCGCTAGTTACTATCTTACTGACGGGTGTTTGTTATTCTAGGATTACATACTGAAAGGGACTTTTTGTACTCACACATAATAGGGTGAGCACTAATTTTTGTACCCAGAATCCCTTTTAAATTAACAGACTCCCTTTGTTTTGCTTCGGGAATCCGACTACTTTTCAACAAGTTCCTTTTTTCAATTAGAAATAGTGATAAAAAAAAAGTTTTTTTTAATGTTGTTTTAGACAAAAAATTAAACAATGGTAATTTAGAAAAAGTTATCAGCGCAGAAGTACAAAATATCGGCTTGTTGAAATTCAATTAATTTCCTTACACCCGTCATTTACATGTGATTGAGGAAGAGATAGATTCATGCCTTTCTCTTGGAGATTAGTTCTAACGTCAACGCAACAGACTAGGCGGAATTTGAACTCGCTTCGCCAATTTAAAAGTATTTTTTTCTAATAACTTTTTTAATATATACCATTGTTTATATATATATATATATATATATATATATATATATATATATATATATATATATATATATATATATATATATATATATATATATATATATTTTTAGGCAAACTGAATTTCAGCCAATTTATCAGCTTAACGCTAAAAAACGCTGGAAAATTGTTGTGTAATTTGAATATATATATATATATATATATATATATATATATATATATATATATATATATATATATATATATATATATACAGACAAAGTTTCGAGAATGAATGAGAGTTTGAAATAGATAGATAGATAGATAGATAGATAGATAGATAGATAGATAGATAGATATGAATAAAGGCAAAAGGAAAAATTATCTTAGCCGATGCGTTTTGTTTCGATACTGAATTCAAAGAGAAACGGTTAAATTCAGAACCTCCCTTTATAAAAAAAAAAAAACTATGTAATACATTAATTAACCCACTCTAAAATAATATAAATATTAATTAAATTATAAACAAACTTCAACAACATAATCATTTACTCATTTTTGTGTATAGAGTTAGCATCCTCCATAATTTGCCTCGTCTTTTCAGTTAGTCTGATGAATATTTATGATCGTTTTTTAAATTAGAAAAACTGAAAAACCAAACCATATTTTTACTTTTGTTTATAAATACTTCTTTTATATAAAATCCTTACATTTGCCTTGATAAAATCCATCAGAGGTCGAAACGTCTCGGTAAACATAATTTTCCTTTTGTCTTCTTTCATATTGTCCTTTGATATATATATATATATATATATATATATATATATATATATATATATATATATATATATATAATGGAATACTTATATACGATCTATCGTTAAAGACGCTGGAAAATGTATGGCTCCAGACCAAACCTGACTCCTCCTGCCATGTTTTAGTTTTACATGTCAGATCAGATCAGAAATAGAGTTCCGATACCGAGTATTCATACACTGAGTCCACATTTCCATCATATTGGTAAGGAGTAAGATCAACTCACAACAAAAATCTCAAAAAAAGAATACTTCTCTAATCACTACAGTCTTAACCACTTCAAGCCAAGCGCCAGCCATTGTTTATCCTACATATCCTTATAACATGCATACCTGGTTCCTCCTTGCTTATCCCCATTGAGTAATCCCCAACCAGTATGGTTGTTGTGCATCCAATTAGTACGGACTGCTATATGTATATACATATAGCAGTCTGTTTCAATTGAATTACTACGGGCTGCTATATTTGATAATACTGCGTTAAGAAAACAAAAAACAGCATCTTCTAAAAAATGTTCCAGGAAATGGTACTAATATAAAATTTTCCAAAACAGAGACTATGATCTGAGATTGGAATGCAAATAGTGATGTCTCCTACTCTGAAGCCATCATAAAAAAAACATCATGCGCAGTTACTAAAAACTTCAAATACCTCGGTGTATGGATACGTTATTAAAAAAGAATAGGATATTTTTTAAAAAATGAGCATAGAATAGGCTGGGCCGGAGGTAGTTTTTCCCAATACAGCATGTTACTACAAAACCAAAACAAACCTGAAACCTCGAGTCATATTCTTAAATAGCCTCGTTAAATTGAGACTTTCATATGGATGTCAGGCATGTCACCAAACTTGTTCACAAATAGCTAAAATATCAGCTGTATATAACTGCTTTCTCAGATCAATCGGGGAGTGAATGAAGCCTGAGCGTTTTGGCAAGGACCACCCCTCTTTGAACCTTGTGGACTGTGGTTATAGAATCACAAATAAAAAAAATGTACTAAATTACAGAAACCAAATTACTCAAAGACCTTAAATAACGGCAACAATTAAAATTGATATGCTTCCGGCCACACTGGCTCCCGTACGATCACCAAAGTAAAGCAACATCGCGCCTGGTCAGTGCCTAGATGGGTCACCGCTTGGAAATACCAGGTGCTGTAAGCTTGGATGTGCGAGTGGTGTAATGGATAATGTGTCGGAATTGGAAACCAGAGAGCCGAGTTTCAATTATCGTTGGCTTCATTATATTCCATTAAGCTCAAATCTCTTTTGGAAAGTCAAGGATCTACCTCTTCTATGGATTAATTGGTGACAGTAAACCATTATTAGCTAAAAAAAAACATTTACAATTTAAAAATATTTACTGGCTTTAAATAACATGTAAATATTTGACAAGACGTAGAAAACAAATAAAAATGGAACTTGTAGCGAAAATGATGATATGATCAAGATGTAGACATTACATACTACTTGAAATAAAAATCAAAGAAGAAATCTGCCATCGTTACTGGGCAGAGTAGTAACGTATACTGAACTCGAGAAATCTATTTTCCAGAATTTTTTAAGATTATATAAATTACTAGCTGCATGATCACTGAATGTCAAATGTTTCCTTATAAGGAAATAGCTAGAAGTACCATTAACTGATATGTCCGGGAAAGGGATATATTTGAACGAAGTAGCTAAGTGGTTTTGGCTACAATAACCAAGTAGAATACGATAGCAGTAATCGACTGGTACGCGTCGTAGTCGCAGGTAAGAAGTGTAGATTAATGGCGTAGTCCAAAAGGCGTCGTTATAGACTTAGCTCTCAGACTAAGGCTCTTTGACTCTCCTACACGTCCGTCGGCATTTATGATTGACACCAGCCAATCATATTCAAGTGAAGGGGAACACAGTAGTATGCATATTCCATTATATCATTAACATTGTAAAATATAGATTTTCTTTAATGTCTGTGATTCGATTTTCTAGAAAGGCACGCTTTTTACAAATTGGAAACTTAGCGCAAATTATGCTAACCCCCCATTTTTCAACGTTTGTCATTCTATAGGAATATTTATTTATATTGCTTCAAATATATATTCAATCACAAAATCTATTATCCCTGGATAGATAGACATTCGGTAAAGAATTAAAAAATAAAAGCTTTTGTTGTTGTTATGTATCCGTGGCCCAATCATTAATTAATCCTTATGTCCTGGACATGCTTTCCAAGGAAATAGGATATCAATTCTAATCTCCCCTGACTCCTACTATTTATTTCGGATTAGCGGTAGATAGAGAACTGCAATACCATGAATGAAATACAAGTTGGAATTAAATGATTAATTTCAAATAGTATTAGATACATCGTTGAAATTAATGTACCAAGAACACGATCATTGAAAAAATATATGAGCATTGACTTGGTAGCAGAAGAGAAAGAGCGACGTGATATTTTTCTTCTTTGCGTTGTGTTTTTTCTGGACATTGGCGATCATGGCTCTCCACAATTTCCTGTCATTTGAAGCTTTTAATTAATTTTGTCTTTTAGTTTTCTCTCTTAAATTATCTCCACCATTCATTTACTCAAACTCTTTGTTCTTCTCTGTCCCTCTTGCCTTTAATCCGTCCTGTGAGTATCAAAATTTCCAAGCCGTCTTTCCTTATTATGTACCATAGAAATTTCAACTGTTTCTACCTGATGTTCAATATAGGTGTCCATTTTGTTTCATTTTCTCTAAAACTTCGTTATTGCTCTCCATGGTATTCTCATAATCCTTCTGTAGAACCAAATTTCTTTTGCTTAATGTCTCTTCTGCGAGGAGATTGTTCGACATTAACTGCAATATAGACCCGTGAACAGTGACTGGTATTAAGCAACAGTTCGGTACGCATTTTTTGGTTTCTATGACGTTATATTCGTGCTTGAATAAAATCTATACACTTTAACGACATGTCCACTTTTCTCTTTTTCAAATTAATAGTGACCAATAGAGAAAATATATACATAAAACAATATTGCAGCTGGAAGTCTACCACCCCATTTGTCATCGTATTACTTCTTGTTTATAACACTTACATCTTTGTTTTCTACTTTACTTCCTCTATAACCATTTACAGGTAAAGTGGGATTTTAATATTACACCTGCCGAAAACAGAAGAAAAATGCAATTATCATGTACTTCCTGGAATCACAAACAGTTCCACCTGCCTCTATTCTATGTCCTCACATTCCTCCTTTGGGTGGAGCGAAGCAGGTATGAAAATGTGAGCAATTTTCACTTCACCGGTCCGATAATTAAGAGCACTGCGTGAAGATGTTTTGTATATTTAACGTAAACATTTGGAATAAATGTTGTTTGTTTTTCTTCATTTTTTCATTACGTGACAAACATTGTCTCCATTTTCACTTTAACAAGATAATACAATAAGACTGCTAGCATCCGACAATTAGGATGTAATTAGATCCCTAAACAGACATATACGACAACACAGATAGATAGATAGATAGATAGATAGATAGATAGATAGATAGATAGATAGATAGATACGAACTGACTATAAATAGATATATAATCTTTATACAAAATATGGTGTGCCTGTTAGCATGATAATATCTTACATTGTTTTCTAGCAATTTTTAGATACGAGTCTCTCTGAAAAATCAGACGTTAAAAGCCTCCCAAGACGGGAGCCTCCAAGGCCGCTCCTCTTTCGGGCAGGGTCTCCTCACATGGAGATTTTTTATTATCTGTGAATTTCCATGACATGACAAATAGAGAAGAACAAGGGAGTGGTTTCCTATTGTGTTCCCCATCGATTTGAATTCAGTTTTCCTTCTACTTGACTGACTAAAAAGAAAGGATAAAGTCAGTCTATTCTGATACTTAACCCACAACAAAGAGGAGAAGAGATGTAGTTATGCCGTTGTCAAGAAAGTTTATGCGAAAGTGAGCACAACGGATAAAACAGAAATGTAAAACGCCGATTTCAAATTCGGCGTTGATAACCGTTCCTCTACTCGCAAATCATCCACATTGCCCCTCCCCATTTTGACGAGGCATACTTCAAGAAAAGGTGTTTGCCATTTATGACAAAAAGCCAGGTCAAAAAATAGTTTGTACCAAAATTTGCGTTTGTTGTATTGAGAAGATATTGAATATAATAATCTAAACAAACTGCTTGACAAATATGCATTGAGAGGAAGGAAGGAAGGAAGGAAGGAAGGAAGGAAGGAAGGAAGGAAGGCGATATGAAATAAGAAAATAAGAACGAAAGTAGTCTGAGTAGAAAGAAAGAAAGAAAGTTAGGAAAGATGGCAGAAGGAAGGAAGGAAGGAGAGAAAGAAAAAAAGAAAGGAAGAAAGAATAGGGAAATATATCAAGAAGAGAGAAAATAAGAACGAAAATAGTATGGGAAGAAAGAAAGAAAGAAAGAAAGAAAGAAAGAAAGAAAGAAACAATGAAACAATGAAACAAACAAACAAACAAAGGAAGAAAGAAAGCAACACTAAGAGAGGGCAAAAGAGTAAATGACAAAGAGGTGAGGAAAGAAAAAGAAAAAAGAACGAAAGGAAAAAGAAAGAAAAAGAAGGAAGTGTGGAAAGAAGAAAAGAACAATAGAATGAAAGAAAGAAAAATAGAAAGATCAGCAATCTTAGAAAGGAAAAGATATCCCAGAAAAGATTTTGATTTAGGATAAACAACGGCTACATTTCTTTTAGATATTTTCTTCCGATTGTACGATAAAGGAAAGGATACAAATACATAATTAAATCAATAAATTATAGCCATTCTCACTTGCACTCCAGACAAAAATCTCTTGTATTCCTTCCGTACAGATTGTATTCTCGAGGAAGGCCATATAATGGATCTGGCGGACTTTATCGGGCATAAGTAATGGAACTAAAAGACAGAGTGTAAGACTTCGAATAATTCTTGGGAAGTGTCGATTTATTTTTGTTAGTTTTGGCATCTTTTCAATATTTTCATAAAATCTTCTGGGGAATAGCGATTCGATAATATAAACAGACAAATCGATATAGAGAATGAAGATGATGAAATTTGCACATGATGAATTTTGCACTATTAAAACGGTATTAAGACTGTATAGCATCAGTTTTCTGATTTTTTCTTTTCCAAATCAGGATGTGAACTCCTGTCTTTCACAATTGTTTCATTATAAACTGAATATATCATTTCTCAATCAATAGATGAATGCAATAACCAGTTGAAATATTGATCAGAATTTTGAAAATAAACAATTTTTAGTTTCAAAAATAAAACTGAAGCGATAATAGTAAGCATACGTCAAAGAGGGACTTTTTTTCTTCCGAGAAATGTTAAGCGTTTGAAAAGCAAAAAAGCATAAAGCGTTTCCAGGAAAAACATCGATAAAAATATATTTAGTCATGTAAACTTTTTTCTTTAGAGTAAAAAGACCTGTTTTGTGTCAGGTATTTTGACTACGTCTAAAGTAAATATACTTGTATATATACGGTAGGCTCTCCCGTCATATTTGACGTATGAGGGTTTACAGGCTCAGATCCTAGGAACCGACAGCCAGACACCAGCACATATGATTTGATTATCGTCGTTAAGGTTTTATGCAGAACCAACCATAGTTTTTGAAGAGCCAGATACAGATATCTGGTGCACCGTATGCCACAAAGGTCGCCAAACGACACTCCTTCTCAGGGTTTGAATTCAGAGTTGTCCTCTTTCTAAACCATTTCCATCCAAGGTTATAGAACCCAGACTGCCCTGCTATTTACCCATAACTAGAGGGAAAGAAGTGGATCAATACATTTCCCAAGGGTCTTAGCATGTAAGTCAATGTAACGGATTCGACTGGAATTCGAACTCGGCTCTCCAATTTGATTATATATATCATAATAAAAAAGAAAGTACAGTAAGACATAAAATCCGGTGTTCTTTTTGATATTTTTATTTTTACAAAACAGTGTAAATTTACAGAGCATAAATATTATAAATTAACTGAGTAAAAATATGGTTTCTTCGCTACACAGAAATTACCATGTTTCAAAAACCGAAACTAAAAACATAAAATTTTATTATATAATTAAATTAAAAGCATTAGTTCTGTTTCATATTCAAGCGAATTTTGGAATAACTTATTTTTAAATTTACTGTTTTAAACGCACATATAATTCCTAAT